GCGCTTGATAATTTCGTTGCGTTACATTAACTTATCAATGCAATTAGGAGATTTCGTTATTTAGATTGAAACATCAATTTTCTTTCTTCCTATTTATCTGTCGCTCTCTTTTATTATTATAATATTATTCTAATCATAATATCGATAAAACTCATTAAATTTAATTACATTAAATGTTAAGCGCGCAGCAGGAAGAGGAAGAATTTTGTAATTATTTATCGCAGTACTGGTGGTGAATAAAAGTGATAATAATTTCCGATATAACGAGTGTCTTTTTATAATTGTGCGAAGAAGAGTACTCTTGAATTAAACAATTAATTTTTCGATCGATAGGATTCTTCTTCGAAAAAGAAATTTCTGAGTAAAAAAAGAAACGTTACTCTGAATCCGTGGGAATAGGAACGAAATAATTGACCTGAGAAACGTCTTGCGATTGGAATGTGCATTCAATGCGGTCAATAGTTTTCTTTCTTCGATTGAGGACAACATTGATCAATGAAAATAAGGAAAGAAAACATTTTGAATTTTGAAGAAAGCTAAAGAAGCGAAATCTCATCATTATTAAACCACATGAAAAAGTAAACTTTTCTTAAAATGAACCAAAAAGGACATAGTAAAAATTTTTCCTATTTACATTAAAACTTTGTCAAAAGTTTTATGTTGAATTTCGAACATATCAGAGTGTTAATTTAATATGTGATTATGTTATTTAGATAGTTGTGTTAAATTAATATTAAACATTTTTTTATTTAAAATAACGCAATTTATTGTGCAAGTAAACAAAAATAATGTATTTTAAGACATTCTAAGATAAATGAATGAAAAATTTTAGTTAATTTAATATAAATGTTAATTTTATTTAAAAAAAATATGTTGCCACAATTTATTTATGAATTGTATCAATTTTTTTGTTAATTTCTTACATAATATTTATCTTACTTCTTAACGTATTTATCTAATATTGAATGAACTATTTAAAATTTATGAAGTTAAGTTTATGAAGCGTTAAGTCGGACACAAATTTTCCAACTGTAAACGTAAATAAAATGTTGTAGCTTGTTGTTAATTATTTCAAACATTTGATCAGGTAAAAGTATTTAATACTTTGACCTGATCAAATTTTCTAAAATTTGTAATAAGTACATTTTAAGATTGTTATCAAAGAAATATTCTTTGTTAAAGATAATCGTTACTTAAAAGAAAGAAAGTAAATTGAGTAATTACTTTTCTTAGAAATAGAATAATATTTGTGTGTGTGCGAATCGTTCTTCAAGCGAGAAGTTTATTAGCAAAAAAAAAATCGCAATTTTAGTTTTCGGAAAAGCTGGAAAAAAGTACCAAGTGATAGGAAATTTAGCTTCAAATTTAAATCCAAAACGCGAAGAAAATCTCTCTTGATGCAGCGACGGATGCATCTCTCTGAGATCGTTGAAAGAATCGATTTGAGAGATTGGGACGTTCGAGGTCTTCGAGAGGTTCGGCCCGCGTGGTTTCCGAACGAAATCGAGCGCTTCACGCTACGTCGCGTCCAAAGCCTGGCGTGTAAAGGAAGAAAAAGAGGCGTGCATTGCACGAATGGCAACGACGAGACTTGTTGTGTCGTACAGCCGTGGCTGCGTGACCGAGCAAGGCGAATGGGAGCGAGTGTATCGAGTCTCCTCATGCGCGGAGAACGGCGTGAACGATCAACGAGGAAGGGAAATTCGCGACGAGAAAAACGGGTCAGTCGCAAATCTCGGAACCACGGAGCTTCTCCTGAGTTCTGAAGCGTGATATCGATTATCGAGCAAAAATTGAAATTTGCCACGTTTGCGAAATTCGTCTTCTCGACAGGAGACACGGTGCATGTGTTCGGCTCGCGTGTTTCTTCGATTTTCTTCTTCGATTGTGAAATCGAGGCGATCTCGAATGAAGTCTGAGATAGGAGGGAAACGTGCGCGACAATCGGAGAAATCGCAAAGTATTGGCATATCCCAGGCGACATTCGTTCCTCTACTTTCAGAACAACTTCTCTTTACGTTGTTCATTTTTCATTTAGTATATCGTGTAAATTATTCTCTTTAGTATTATTCCATTTATTATGTAAATTATATTAAAATTTAGATTCACGTACTATTGCTGATGTCTTATCTTTTGAGGTATTAAATTACACTGCGCTTAGTTTATAAATTTACATTCCACATTTTATCCACACAAGTTTTTTCTTACAATTATACAAAAATTATACAAAAAGAAATATGTAAAAAAACATTTTGTATTTATTAAAACCAGTCCTTAAAGGACTTTTAACAACTAAAGCCTATTCTACAATGTTCTCTTTGTTTCCTGTTTCTTATTTTTTACCTTTTGCTTTTATCTTCTTTGCAACCGTTTTATCAACAATTGTATTTTTTGCTACGTATTTCTTGTTTCTTTTGAAGTTCGTTAACTTTTATCTCGGGCGATGTAAAACAAAAAACCGGATAAGAAGCAAAAAGAAAAGATGTAAAAAATAACAAAAGGTAAGAAACAGGAAACAAAAAGCACATTGTAGAACAGGCTTAATGGACTCGAAACAAAATAATAATACTAAAATAATACTAAAGATGTTTTCCTCGATCGTGACTTAAAATTTATTTAGTTCATGTGTTTAAAACATCTCTGGCTTTGTTTTGCGAATTTCTCGGCTCAGTATAATAAACGGGATTCTTCCTCTTCGCGCTACTCTTGAGTCATCGTGAGTCTTGTCAATATTACAAAACTGTGTAAATAATCTCGTGTTGAGAGAAGAGAGGAGAGGGAAAATTGATGTTTTTTTCTTAAGGACGGAAATTAAATAACGAAATCTGAAAGACGGCGAATATCTGTTTTGATTGCTAATCATTACACAGTGTTACACAATATCGAAGGAGAACGACATAGAGGCAGCACACAGACTGATCTCTACAAATTCCGAAGCAATTTCTTCAAGATACTTTCCACGAAGAGAGGCGTGAAGAGGCATCAAGAAGTGGCGAATATTCAAGTGTGAAATCACGTGTGTTCTTTCCTTTCCAACGAAGAACGTCGATGACAAAAAAACTGTAATGTATTGATGATTACTGCACAATTCCGTTTTTCCGTTTAACGGCAGAACGGCGAAGTTTTTAAACGCAGCAATCACTTTTGCGCAAGAATTGTATCAACTATTGATTGGCGATCAGCGCGTTTACATACGTCGTATAACGATGCGATCGCGACGGAGTTGCCTGCGAAGTAAAATCGATCCATCAATCCCACGTGGTTCCACGTAAAGATACGGACGTCCAAGAGAGGAGATGCTCCAAGGGTCGCGAATGATCGGCGGAAGTGCGCGAGGGAGCGGCCCGTGAGAATCGTCCTGGTGGATCGCGCATACTGGGAACGTCTTCTTCGCGTTAGGAGGATGGACAGGGGCGATAACAATATTGTCGGAAGTGGTGGAAGTAGCGGAAGTGGCGGCGGTGGCGGTGGAGGCGGTGGAGGTGGCGGCGGCGGCGGAGGCGGAGGCGGCATCGGCCTCGGCGTGGGCTGTCACGTGGGAAATTCTGGATCCCCGCCAAACTCCACCTCGTCGACCCACGGCACGATGCACAACTCCTCCGGCGGGTTCGACGGCCAGGTAGCGCATCTCCCGAGATCTTTAAGTCTGATTACGGAAGGTCTTGTGTAAATATTTGCATGGTCGTTATATAACTTGTTCCCAAATAATTCCTGGAAAATTCGATTATCACAAATCTTGGGGAATCTTCTGATTCTCTCAAAATCGTTCTCGATCTTACCCGGATGCTTAGTAAAATCAAATTAATGTTCGAAGTTGAAATTCGATCGTTACTTGATTTACATCAGAACTATTTATGCCCATTTCCACCAACGTAGATTATGTTTAATCTCGGTTTAACTTACTCTTTGTCTTTTTTTAATCTTTTAAATTAGAAAAAGACAAAGAGTAAGTTGAACCGAGATTAAAGTTAAACTACATTGGTAGAAACGAACATTAGAAGGTGAAAATTTTTCTTGGACTTTTTTATAAAATTATTCAGATTTTTATACAAAATTAAAAATTTCTATATACTTTTCAACTGTTTAAAAAAAGTTCTCAAAACGTTTTTTGTCTGAAAGTTCTTTTGATAGTCCACATCTTTTCTGAAATTCTTTATATAGAATAAATATCGCTTAAGGAGAGCTTAAATAAAATTTCTATATTTTAACTTTTTAGAAAATTTCTCAATTTTTTTAGTGCGAATTGAATATTTCTCAGAGGTACTGGAAAAGTTTGCATTTTTTTCTAAAATTCTTCGTGAATTCTGAAATTTTCAGACATTTCTAGGATTTCTTATTTTATAATTTCTGGAAAAAAAAACTTATAAAATCTAAATAGATTAAAATATTTCTTCAAAATTTTCATAAATTTAAAATATAAGACAAATTCTTAAAATTTATGAGATATTACAAGAATTTTTTCACCAGGGAAACGCTGCACTTACGTTTGCATATGAATTGATAGGAATCGAGGTGTGCCTAGAAGTCGTGAATGATGAATATAGCACATCGTAGTTTTGTTTTATTGATGTCACAACGTCAATAACGGGGATGTTTATTAAGATACTCTCTCTCTCTCTCTCTCTCTCTCTCTCTCTCTCTCTCTCTCTCTTTCTCTCTTCTTCTATTACTGCTTCTATTCAAGTTTATCCTGTACGAGATACCGTACCTGATCGAATACGGGATTAGAAATAACTTTACTACATGTCGCGTACACGAAGGCGATAACTCTGCCATTTGATACGGGATATTGGATTATCTGACGATCGCTTTCATGCGCGGGAGAAGATCTCCTGTAACACGTGCTCTCAAGTGATTCACAAGTCCATCCGGAGACTAAATTTATCACAGCAAATTGCAGGACTCGGGCATGAGTTTAATTTTAACGGCGAAATTCGTCGGTCACGCACGACCCATTGTTATAACCTCGCCAAAATTAATCTAATTATCGTGCCTTAACGCTCGATGCTCGATGATGATTATCGTTAATTTAACTGGCGCGTATTTCAATGAAAACACGCCACGGAGCTAGGAATACACGCGGAATGTGTATAATTACACCATTGTATTCGCTTCCATATGTGTAGTGAATGAATTATGGCTTTTAATTAGGCGATGCTGTCGTCTTCTAACCGCTGGTTAAACGTCTCATTATGTGCGTAAAAATAAAATGTTAATTTATTTAACATATATGAAGTATCATTATATTTTTACGGTTGTAATTTTTACCTTTATTTCGATGTAATTAAGAGAAGTTTGGTGAATGTAAATTTCATACCAATGCAAAGTTCAATGGAACAAATTTTACTGAAGTGTCTAAAACTTTAACTATAGAAATAAATTTGAAAATAATTTTGTTGGATTATGTTAAAATAATAAGTGGGACACTTAAGCATAATGATTAAAGTTTTGCAGAAAGTTTTGATATTTTAGCAACCAGACCCATCTTGAGCGATATATACAATTTTACATATTTTAATGGTCTAATAAAATTATTTTCAGATCTGTATCTAACTAAATTTGTATATTCTTTTCATATAGCGATTTCAGACTTTTCGCTAATCTTGTTGTACGGAATAAAGGCAGAAATAAAGACTTCATTACACTCGCTATTATTATCAAGATGATTTAAGGTGTCGTTGCATGATATGACAATGTATCTTTTGACTTTTCTACAGTTTTGACGATATTATCTTATTTAAATATGACTTATAACTGGATTTATCTCTATTTAATATTAAGAGATGATGTAAGTACATGAAAGCGTGCCTTTCAGCATAATATTATTGTAATCATTTAATAATAATATGCCAACTGACCATAGCGATTATATCACTAAACGTATCTGTAAAGATGTTTATATGACGACGTTAGCAAAAAATGCAATCAAAAGTTATCGGTAACAGAGTGTCCCGTTTTAACTTAGACATCAAAATATCTCGAAAACAATGCATTAAAAAAAATGTTTCAAATAAAAGTTGTAGAGTTTACAGAGGGCTAAGCAGATAAGCTACTTAGATTTTGGGTCTAATAAAGCTCAAGTTGTATTTTAAATAAGAGAACTTTGAGCGCTATTGAAGACTTAGTGAAAAATTATCACGAACAAATTTTCTTTTTTTTTCCAATACAAATTTTCAATAAAACATAGGCGTTTCTATTAAGAAATTTAATTTACTCAAAGTGAGTTCTGAACTCAAAATCTAAGTAGCTCATCATAGCCTTCTTTAAACCCTACAACTTTTATTTAAAATATTTGTTCGCAAATGCATTGTTTTCGAAATATTTTGGCGTTTGGGTTAAAATGGAACATCTTGTATAATAGTGATCTCTTTAAGTAATATTTATATCTCACCAATTTTATTATTCATATACATGAATTAAATATTATTGGCACTAGCAATAGATGAAAACACGATAATAATTTGCGACCTTTCTGATATCTTTGAATAAAATATTATTAAAGTAAAAGAGCGTATAAAAATTAATTATAGAAATTCAATTAGTTTTGAATAAATTAAAATATCAGACACAATTAGTTATTGAAACTATTTCATTTTTGTAATATGGAAGAATAATGATAACTTTAATCATATGTTTCATCTGGTGAAAAAAGTCTCATAATATTTTTAAAAATAATATTTTAAAAAATTTTTCATATTTTAAATTTATAAAGATTTAAAGAACAAATAACTTAAAAACTTCAAATTTTATAAATTTTTTTCGAAGAAAGAAATTAAATCTCAACGTAGAAGCTATATTAATTTTTTATACCACAAAACTATAGAATTTTAGAAAATATTGTAAATTCAAAATATATAAAGAATTTCAAAAAAGATTTCTTAGTATATAATTTTTTATGCAAGTGTTCCAATTTGTATAAAAAAATCTAAGAAATTTTCTAAAAAGTTATAAAGTTTAAATACACTCATATAAATCGTTAGAAATTCTAAAAAAATTATGTGAAGAATTCTGAAAAAAATTTTTCACCGAAGTCAATGAAATATGTTAAAAAATAGTTTTTCGAAAGTTTAATTATATTCTAGAACTATTAAACTATATTTTTTCAGTATTGGCAAATTATTTAATATTATCTTATCTTCTTTTTCATTTAAGACTAGTGACAGAGGATGGGAGATCCACCATATTAAGGTGACCAGAGTCCCAGGTTATGGCTTTGGAATAGCTGTGTCAGGAGGTTGTGATAATCCTCATTTCACTAATGGCGACCCAGCGATCGCAATCTCTGATGTGCTCAAAAACGGCCCAGCTGAAGGAAAATTACAGTAAATTCACCACAGCAAATAGCAATAAATTTTATTTTAATGCATTTTACATTAATATGTATATAGAATAATTTCTCTTTTTTTAGTCTATATAAAGATTTCTTACAATCTTTTATTTATAATCTCTTATTTATTAACACTTTTTCATTGTTGTTGGCATTAAATCTTAATTTACATAAAAACTTTTTAATTGGAATTGTTTATAAAATGAAAAGATTATTGCAAATTATAATTAGCAAGATTATTATTTGAAAATGTATCGTTAATAGAGTGAATGACCGTATTATCTCCGCCAATGGAAAATCGTTGGAAGGCGCCGATTACGCAAAAGCTGTGCAGGTTTTGCGGGATTCTGGTTCTACCGTTTTGCTAGTTGTTAAACGAAGAGCTTTCTCGAATTCACCCAGTTGTTTAGGCAGCGGAGTACCTCAGAGTCATCGGCTTACACTCACACGAAACAACAAAAAAGATGGTACGTAATCAGACAACATGTAACACTTTTGCGATAACTTGAAGATCTCGAGCAATATACATACACATACGTCTAGCTTTCGGTATCTTTATCAATTTCGTAATCCGATTTCGTAATCTCATTTAATTTAATTTAATTTAACTTGTTTTAATTGAATTCAATTTAATTTAATTTTTTGAGTTAATAGTTAATAGATACGATTTCTCACGCAATGACAAAAGCTTGAATCTTCAAGCTTTTTATTCTTATAAGCTTCTTCTTTATTTTATAAGCTTTATTATAATTTTTATCTTTACAATATGTAGAAAACAAGATGTAATTTACTGCTTTGATTTCTAGACTTCGGCATAATCCTGGGATGCCGATTGTACGTGAAGGAGGTTACGCGAGAGAATATTGGAGTGAAAACCGGGGACGTGTTAACCCGAATAGGTAGCGTCGCCGCCGACAATATGAGTTTGAAGGAAGCTAGAAAGCTGATGGACCAGTGTAAAGACAGACTCTCGATTGTAATTACGCGGGATAACTCATGCTGTCATGTGCAGCAACAAGGTAAAGGGGATAGTGGTGAATACTTGTCGGGCGCAAGTTACAGTAGTCAGAACTTATACGTTCCGCCACCCACGAGGCAGCCTTTAGAAGATAAGAGTAACCTCGTGCCAAGGGGCCGCTCGCGAGGTCCGCTGATGGACGTATCTCTGAGCCAGCTAGATCTACCAGCTACGCCCACTGTGGATCCACCTAGACCACCTCCACCGAGACCGGAAGGTACGTATCGCGATATGGGCGATTATTTCGATCATTTCAAATAGTAAAAGTCTAACTAAAAGATTGGTACTGATAAAAATCTCAAAAAGTTCCCAAGCTGATTTCAGTATTAAACTTAATAAAAAATCTATTTTTACACTTTATTGTATTTTTGAATATCTTAATATAATTTATATAATTTCTTTAATATCTTAAATATTTAGTAAAATCATTCTTAATCTGATAAATAAAATTATCACCCATAAATGATGAGTCTTGCGAATTTTATGTATATATTACTCAATATGAGACATAGCAGTTAAAGTGTTAAATAAAGCTTTAATAACTATTCATTATTATTTTTTTACTAATCTCGGATCTAGTGTAAAATAATATATTAGTTTTATTTTTTTTTATCGAAAATTTCATTCGATATTATCTTTCTTTAATCCTTTAATGCTATTTTAATGAAATACTGTTACTAATTATCTGGATTGAAATTATCTTAATCAAATGCTTTCGAAATTAATAACATTAATAATGAAGATTGTTTTCTTTTTTTTAATCCGCGAAGTTTTTTACTTAATGTGCCATTTCTCTTTATAGATTATTATAGTACGCGTAGACAATTGTACGATGAAGATTCGGTTTCGCCTCGGACGAAACAACCTATGTAAGTAGATAAAGTTTTATTCTGCTTTATTCTTTTAATTAGACAATATGCAATGTTTATTTACTATACGTATATAATATTATCTATATATAGGCCGGATCCTCGATTTATTACATTTCAAAAGGAAGGATCCGTAGGCGTACGATTAAGTGGTGGCAATGAAACCGGGGTCTTTGTAACCGCAGTTCAAGCGGGAAGTCCCGCATCGCTTCAGGGTCTTCAGCCAGGAGATAAAATTCTAAAGGTCAGTTAACAATTCGTGATAAGTTATTACCACTTATTTACGTTTAGATAAACTAAATCCATGTTCAAAACTCCAAAGATCCAAAAGTGACGAAATGAAAAGTAAAGTTAATGAGTCTAACAATATCATTTATCAAATGATTCTTTTATTGGAATAATTTTAATCTTAAATTTATTAGGGTTTATTTTATTAGAGTTTAAAGTGTTGAAAGTATATATTTAAATAATTTTGTTCAAGATTCTCTTACAATTATAGATTTTACAAAATCTTTTAAAAGAGATTTAAAAAAATTTCCGATTAGAGATCCTGATTGATCTGTGTGAAAATTTATAAAGAAATATAAAATTTTTGCGACAGATAAATGATATGGACATGAAAGAAGTCACGAGGGAAGAAGCTGTACTATTCCTTCTTAGCTTACAAGAACAAATCGATCTTATCGTGCAACATCGACGTCAGGAATATGACCAAATTGTTGCATCCGGCAGAGGCGACTCTTTTCACATAAAGTAAGTGACATTTATGATATAAATCAATAATCTTAAAAAATATTTATTTAGAATGACCAGAACTACAACATGCAAAATTTAATCAATTCGACGGAAAGATAATTTCCGTAAAGTTGGTACGAAGTACCTCTTTAGCTCGCAACTCCTTGTATCTTATACTTTGTTCTATTTTGCAGTCTACTTTGACATTTCATCGTTATTTTATTAATTTTATTAATTTTCATTTCTAACTCATAAGTATTCTGCCAAATATTAAAGATACTTATTTTGATGACTTTTTTAGACTTATGATGTTTTCACGTTCGATAATGTTTCGAATTTATTCATTTTGATAAATCTACTTTATCAAATTTACTGATTTGATAATTATAGTGAAAATAATTTTTGTTACCTATACCAATTCTATACTGAGAGTCGAAATGTTTGTATTTTTATTTTATTAATATATTTGATACATATGATTACTTTGTGTTGGCTCGTATAAATTTATTTTTGAATTTTTGATTTATTTCTTCGGATCCTTATTCTTTTATATATTATTCTTTTATATATTATTCTAAATTTAGTTTAATGAAAGGTGATTATGACTGATAAGATATATCTTTGTGAAATGCGCAGAACTCATTTCCACTATGAGCAACCACAGAAAGGTGAAATGAGCTTTCGCAGTGGCGATGTCTTTCATGTGGTGGATACTCTTCACAATGGCGTCGTAGGATCCTGGCAAGTTTTCCGAATTGGACGAAACAATCAAGAGGTACAAAAGGGTATCATACCTAACAAGGCTCGGGCTGAGGAACTTGCAACCGCACAGTTCAACGCTACGAAGAAAGAGATGAGTGCTAACGAGAGCAGAGGTAGCTTCTTCAGGAGAAGAAGAAACAGTCACAGACGCTCGAAATCTTTAGGAAGGGTACGAATGCAACAAACTCTTTTTATCTATCTTTATATATTAGGTGTAAAAAGAAATCCATTATTTTTGCATGAAATTGAATGGAAAAATAATGGATTTCTTTTTACTACATCTAATATTATATAATCTAATACAGATTTTTTCACATTGTATATATATTTCATTTATTTAAATATTATTTTGTTTTTTTATATCATACGTTATAAGTGTTAAAAAAGGATTAAATAAGATTTTTTAAGTTTTTTATTTTTTCACGGATCTTATCTTCAAAGATACCAAAAGATTATCGTTCGTTTATTGTGAACCTTGCTGTTCACTTCATCAGTGTGCTTCACGCCTTGATGAAGTGAACGGCAAGGTTCACGAAACATTGGCATTAGCAATGGCTAAAAACAAGGCCATAACCAGCAATTTTTTGATATCTTTTAGGGATTAAATAACTTTGTATCTACATTAATAGTTGATTAGATTAATTTTCATGTTTCTTCTACATTTTTTAGGACCATTGGGATGACGTAGTGTTTTCTGATAGCGTAAGCAAATTTCCGGCTTACGAACGTGTGATCTTAAGACATCCTGGATTTGTCAGGCCTGTCGTTCTCTTTGGACCTGTAGCCGATCTTGCTAGGGAAAAGCTTTTAAAAGATTTTCCTGATAAGTTCACTTCGCCACGTAAGTAAACAATATACTTTGCATTAACTGTTTACTGAATAAAATAACTATGTTATTATATTTTCGAAGCAGATATTGCTGAATATTGAATATTTTGTAGAAATGGAAAGTCAAATGGAAGATGGTACGGGGAAGAACACCAAAACATCCGGTATCATTCGCCTGAGCGCTATCAGGGAAGTGATGGATAGGGGCAAGCACGCGTTGCTTGACATTACTCCGAATGCCGTAGATCGTTTAAATTACGCTCAATTTTATCCGATCGTCATTTTTCTAAAGGCCGAGACGAAGCAAGTCATCAAAGAGATGAGAGCTGGCATACCAAAGTAAGAATAATAGCAAGATGAGATCTGTACTTTTCCTTTCCAAAATTCTATATGCAACGTATGTATATATTATAGATCAGCGCACAAAAGCAGTAAAAAACTTTTGGAGCAGTGTCAAAAGCTTGATAAGATCTGGGGACACGTATTCAGCGCGGTGATCACTCTCAATGCACCGGAAGCTTGGTACCGGAAGCTGAGAGAGCTCATCGATCGCCAACAGCAAAGTTCGCTATGGATGAGTCAAACCAAGGTAAAGCAATTTAGTTAACAAGTTGTATTTGCAGAATATGCGTGCTGTTTGCCCTGTTTTATTTTAATTAAGTATAAAAATATTAGTAAGAATGAAATTACTGAAAATATAACTATGGGATGGTTTTTTTATTCCCTTTTTCTCTTTCCATTCTCTTTCCATTCTTCTTTCACTTTTCTCACGAATATCACGGATTTTTCTCATTGCTCGACGTAATATACTGTGTTGTACGGCGATCTTAGGCAATTTGGGTGTTCATTGTAGCCGATATATAGCCGATACACGGTGTGGGACCTATCGCATCTGCCTGTATACGCTCACACTCCACCTCCCATCCTCTTACCTCCTCCGCTTCCCAACGATAACGTGTATTATGATGAGAACAAGAACCATGACATGCTTCTGTCACATCATCAATCAATATCATCTTTCATGGGAAAATTCCCGCCACTTCCGCAATCGCCTCCAAATTCGGGCGTCATCCGTGAGCAATTTTTCGGCTATATATAAATCTTGCTTGCTTTAACTCTTTAACTGTAAAATTTAGTACAATATTTTTAGTACAATAATATTTTAGCGTTTAACGTGCTCTTTTTTGAGCTAAATCAGTTGTTGCAGTATTTCATGCAGAAACACGATGTATGTATATCAGTTAATCGTTAAAGAAACAATTAAATTGATTTGACCATTCAAACATATTAAAAATGATAATTAAGTTAACATTCGAGTATATTTGTTTAAATAGTTAAAAGGTTAATTCAGCATGTTTTAAGTATGCATTTTTTCACTTTGCATGGCTATATCTAGCTTAATAATCTATTTTCTCTTTCCAAATTTGTCAATTTGGAAAGAAATGTTGAAACTCTCAACTCTAGCCGTTCGAGAATATAAAGTTTTTCAGTTTTATTGCAATAAAAATAAAAAAAAGGAAAACATAGTAATATAATTTAAAGATGAGGCTAAAGTTATTTTGCTAAATAGCAAAATTGTTAATCTTTTTAAGTTATTGAACTAATTAGCAAAATAACTAAAAATGTTTATTATAAAATTGCTAAAATTTTCTCTTTTTTTTATCACGGCTAATATTTACAAATATTTTACTTTTTTGCGCAAGAAAATAGTTTTTCATATATGTTTTATATGTCTGTGAATGCGTGCTTATCGTGCTATCATACTTCTACTTTGCTTCCTTCGCAAATCGTTTAATTTGTAATATGCTTAGAAAGAACAGTTAGAGATATATTATTGTTCTAAGAAAGCATATTACAAATTTAATTTTTATACAAAATATCCATAAAAATATAACTCATGGTACTTCGTTGATATCCGAATAACGTATATTCATTGTGTTGTTGGATATTAATTCACATATCATATGTATCGTTTGCCTAATGTGATGTCCTTTGTGATCTGCGCTCATAGCCGGAAGAAGCTCTCTCGGATGACTTCCTATTCCCGATGACTTCTCGCCTCTCCTACGCTTCCTCTCCGGAGAGCGATTTGGAGCTGAGCCCAGCGCCCGTTATTCCTGGTACTTTGGGTCCACCATCGCGATTAAAAAGTAGTTCCGATCCGAGTATTGCTACTCAAGACGATACTACTGCACCGCCACCGTATTCGACGAATTATCAGGTATAATATTTTCAGTTACATCTAAAAATAGCGACTTACCTAGACTTGATTTACATCTTGTAAATAAAAAAAAATTTATTTCTTATTTAGAGCATATTGAATGCGTTCGATAAAATTTTTTATTATAAGTGTACTAGGAATTTGATAAAAATATTCAATATACAATATTCAATATACAATATCTAATAATTGATGCAGCACTCGTGTGCAGGGAGAGTAAACTTTTTAATTAAAATAAAAATCCAATGTATCAAATTATTTTACAATTTTTTATTTAGTTTGCTCTTCTTGCACTATTTTTTTTCTTTAAGTTCTTTTCTAGGTAGAAATGTACATATAATATCTCTAATAGATTTCTTCACTTCTAGCAATCGTTCGAACAGCAGAAGAGAAGATCCCAAGGAGTAGGCGATAGCAAATATGGCTTCTCCTTGTCCGGTCAAAGGAGTAATCAGTCCGGTTCGCCGGAATATCTGGGCAGTTCCTTCGAGCCTAGATCTCCTCATCATAGTCCACCGGACCTTCCACCACGAGTTGATCGAAATGCGAAGCCGATTAATCAAACGCCACGGGGGACAATAGGGCGATCCGCTCAGGAACGTCTAGGAGTGAATAAAACTGACTCAGTTCTAGATATGGGGAATTACATCAATGCGACCCCTCACAAAGCAAATGCTACATCATCTTTGGAACGAGCTCAACCGAAAGCGGTAAGCGATATTTCTTCTTTCTTGATGTGCGTACCATAATTTCAAATAAATCGTGCTATTCAACTGTAAGATACATTTATGTTCTCTTACATAGGGAAGTTATGACAGTATGTCTTCCTATGATTCGTACAACAATACTAATGGGAACGCGAACTACGGGATGGCGAATTTGAACACATCGACAGGTCGTTTGGGCCCAAATGTACCTGATGATCTCAAAAGCAGCAACATACCAGCGAGAGCGCACGATCCGTATAGATTCACTAGATCTACGGTTCAGCCTGGTTCCACGCACGATGCTCAAACGCGAACTGATTATGCCAAATATAGGTGTGTATTTAACATAATCAATAAACTAAAATATATACATTTATTTTATATATACATCTTTTTTGAATATTAGAAACTTACTTTTTGATATATTGATGTTTAATTAAGAATTTAGAAAGAACTTTTTATATCTCTTTCTTTATAAGATAAGAATATTTTAAAGAATTTTTTTAATATCTTGAAATCATCTTTTTTACAGAATAATATTATAATTGATATTATTTTTTTTATTTTTTTAATGAAATTTTTTATATCATCTGTAATGTCTAAGTGTCAGTGTAAGTTTGTAAGTTCTAATACAAGATCATTTCTTTCAGCCGATCTACCGACTACAAATCGATACCAATTTCACAAAACAAACCACCAGGCACTTATAAACCGATTCCACCTCCAAAGCCGAAGAATTACAGGCCACCTCAAGCGTCGCTTGCACAAACGGAGAACAACGGAAACGATGGGAGTAATTCATATCAACACTCAAAGAGTTACTCTATTGCTACGTCGCATGTACATAATGGGGTAATTATTATTTTAAATATTGTAAAAATAATTATTCTTTCTTTCTTATCATTGTTATCAATGTCTGTGATTCGCGAATGAATACCAAAATGCGTACCTATTATGTATCACGGGATCGTTGCGATTTTATGTAAATTTTTCTATTTAGGTAGAAAGCAACAGTAACATGCAGCGCAACAGCGGTCAGTATTACTACAACATCCCGCCACCTGGTCGTCACAACGACGGCAATATTGTGAATTCACATCACAATTTAAGTCATCTTACGTCGCCGACACACAGTCACAGCCTCAGTCATACGCATTCTCACTCAAGCCCACCAGTAACCACCACGCATTCCCACAGCAACAGTACCGGCCAAATCAGTCTCGGTTTGCCTCATAACCGGAACAGTACGAATCACAATGGATATATGCACGGTAATAATCACGCTCCCGCAGGTCCACTCTATCCCTCCGCTAATCCTGGACACAATAGGGAACCCAGCGGTCTGGACTTGGCTGGTAGCCGAGAGCAAAGAGGAAGCGCTTTCGAACTCTACCGAAAGCCGGTCCATCATTACAATATGAGGTGAGTATAGGCGTAAATAGAGAAGAATTCACTCGGAAGAGAAAACTGAAGAATGCAGCGAGAATCTCGCTCATATTTTAACAACATAAAATGATCTTGTCCTTTGCACGAGCATTAATATTTTTAAAAGCGCAAAATATAAATCTTGGAATATGGAAGAATTAAAAAAAGATTCTCCAGTTAATTAGAAATAACATGCGATGTTAATTATGCGATACAAACCGGTTTTTTTACTTTTGCACTCTTTCTTTATTTAGTATTTTTGAATCCCATCAAATGTAGCTCAGTAGGAATGTTGTTATATGTTACAGTTAACGTGTATCCTGATGCAAGACTAATTATATTAGGATAAATTATCGAATTTATTGGAGTGTGCAGAGGAATGAATCGTGCAATGTCGTAAACATAAATAAAAGAAGAAACGAAGTTGTGCGTTAGCTAATACATAATATTACGAAGAATATGTGCCTTTTAAAAAAATTAAATTTTTATAGAAATACCATGACACCAACGAAACGTTTTTTTTTACTTAACGAAGTACTTAAATACACGAAGAAATTTTACGAAATAGAGAATTTTTTTTATTATAACAAGAAAGATAATGTGCTAAAGATTATCTTTTTCAATATGTAAGTAGAAATCTTATCATATATTTATGTATCATGAAAGTGAGTTTAAAGCTTATTTTTAATGGTGATACATAAAATATGCGCGTACGTTTAATAAGAATAATGTAGAATAAATCTTAAAGGCAGATGAGTAAGTGCAATGTAACGTAACAATACTCAGTCCATTATACACAGGTAAAATCTGTACAGTTATATTAATTATACTTTCACACATATTTGCTGGAAATATTAATAACGCCAGATGGATAAAAAAGAGAAAGCAATTTTATAAACTTATTGCGAAAAACGTCAACATTAATATCAATGAATGTTTAACAGTTTACAATATTTACCGCTTATTCTTTAAGCAAATTATAGAAAGAACACTTTTAATTTGTATGGCAATTATCTACATTATATTGATATATTATTGACGTATGTGATAACGATTAATAAATGAAACTCTCTATTGTTATTGAATAAGGATATAGAGCGTGCCTGACTCTAAATTTGAGGAATTTTTATCGATGAGATAAATAAATATAATAAATAAATATAATGCAAGAAATCAATAATAATACATGATAATATACATTGTTTTATTATGTTGTGTATAATAAAAACATAATGTTGTATATTATTAAATGTTACTATCGCTAGTATCATCATGAATATCATTATGAAGATATAATTAATATAAGTAAAATAAATGTAAGAAATTAAAATTTTTATTATGTCCCCATAAATGACTAGAAATGATAAGGAAAAGAATTTTTGTAACATATAAGAATTTCATATCGTGAAATTAATTAGGAAAGCATATTTTTCTCAAAATATTTGGAGGTAATAATTTTTCAAGAAAAGAGAAATACTTTTTTTTTAATCAGGCACGCCCATGATTATTTATTATAAACTGTATTATGCGTCATTAGTAGTAAACCAAATGGTCTTTTTAAAACTAGGGTGAGGTATTATAAAGAGCTTATAATAGCATTAGATTACAAACTGTGTCATCGTAAAAAAATCTGTGTCATCGTATACCAATACTCTTGTATTACAAATTAAAGCGTAAACAAATTATATTGTTGTTAACGAGGTACGACAGACAGTAACGTTGCACCCACCATTAAATGAAAAAGAATAGCATAAATATAATTATAAGTTTGATTATATTGACGTGATTATTATTCATGATTATTAAATTTAAATGTGTGCGATTCATCTCGCTACCATAGCGAGGCTGTAGGATTTATTATATAAAGAAGACTAATGTGATGTTTGCATGGCAGTTTACGAAAAACAAAACAAGAAATTCGAACAAAAATATTTTGACACAAATCTCGTTTTTTTTTTATTAACATAGACGAGGTGTACGATTGAAACATGTATGATAATTTCTACATGATTAATGAATGTTTGAAGCTTAATAATTTATTTTAATTTGTACCTTTTCCTCTCATTATGCATATCTTCCTCAATTTTAAACATACGAATTTTCGTTATTATTTTTTAACCGTTCCCGAACAGATTTTTCTTGAACATGTGAAATTAAAAAAACAAATTTTTTTCTTAATATAATTTAAAAAATCTAATATATTTCTAATATATTCATCTTAATACATTTGCAATCATATTAATAATCGATTCTTTTTAATCACACAATAATTCAAAGAAATTGCCACAGTTCGGAAATAGAGAACGGTGTCGAAAAATAAAGGGATAAGAAAAAAATAATGAGAAAAGAACCACAGTTGCAATTACTTTAAAGAAAATTCTGTAATATTTCCGTTTACATATAACCATAAAGATTGCTAATTCTTTACAGAGATAAAAATAAGATAAAAATAAGAAACCTAGATAACGAGCTTTAACAAAATATTCTATTATGCCAAAATATTTTATTACGCCTAATGAAAAACGTTTAAAAAATATCACGTTGAATCTGCTTAATGCCTTTAATATACATGTATAATTGACTATAATTGGCTAGTTTAGTAGATATTTATAATAATTAAGATCCCGATACACTCATAGTTTAACAATGAGTATGATTCGTGGGCAGGATATCTCGCATATATTTTATAGAGTCTATAAAATATGAGGAAGAGATGAAGAAATGCTATTATTATATGGAAAGACGCATAAACAACCTAAATATTGAATAACACGTAATTGTACAGTTGTGAAATATTTGTAATCATATGTTTTCCTAATGATTTGATATTTCAATATATCCATCGATATATTTTACGTTGCAAGAATACAATGCATCAGATGAATATTATATCGATCCAATGTACAATATTTGATTAAAAATTTTAATGCACTTTGCGGATATAGTAAAACATAGATATATTTCCATTCAATCATATACGAATCCATTATAATTTGCGACTTGCAAGAATTACGACAATTTCAATTAATACTTTTTTACTTTTCTTTGTATATAAGCGATCCCGTTTAACAAGATTCTTATTGTAATATTGAAGAGCAAAAATTTCAAGCAAAAATATAACTACGATCTACAACGATTATTGTCAAGTTTTCCCAGAGTATTTGAACGGCACGAATCGGCGATATGGCGATTTCACTTCAATCCCAACAGCCACTCAGCTACACCGAGATAATAGACGGTTTGTGCAATTCCGAATAACGGCGCTATGACTATCATTCGACAAGCGCCGCCTTTGAAGAATGCCGTCAGTCCCTCGTTCTTAAATGTCTTCCTACAAGTCGAAAATAATATGATTATAAAACTAGATTTTTATTTATAATTAAAATTAAAATTAAAGATAAAATTTCATGAAAATTCATGAAAATCCCTGATTTTCAAAAATAAAAAAGGAATCTCCTGAAAATTTTTGGTTTTCCAGGTCTCCCCAGGTAATAAACTTACTCTGTAAACTTAATAATAACTGAATAAGGAGAATGTTTAATTCCGAGGAACTTACAGTATACAATCTAACACTCCAGTGTACGTTGGATCACCAGGTGCTTTCTTGATAACTTGTAGTCTAGTTTTGATTACATCGAATGGATTTACCATTAATGCGGCCGTCGATCCGGCGGCGCATCCAGCAAGGAATGAACACCAGAATACAGCTATAATTAACAGCGACATTTACTGTTTAATATATTTTCGTTTAGAATCGATCGTATGATAACATAATTATATCGCTTACATGAACCGTCTTCTCGCTTTGGCCCAAGATCATTCAGTCTAGCGAACAGCGGAAAATAAATAACAGAGAACGTTACGTCTCTGAGTGCTGTAGCGCCAGTTCCTTGGTACAATCCCAGTATACCTCGTTTCTTAAGTAGATCTACCGTTAATGACCAAGCGGATATCTTTGGCACAACTTTGCCCGCTGTAACAGTAATACGATATGCAATTTATTGTTAGAAGCCTGGACAAGTATAATAATTCTAAAATGGATTTATTTTCACGTTTTAAAGAGCGAATCGTGTGAATCGAACGAATTGTATTTATTAATTATTATATTTCTAATTTTAATTGAAAATATATAGCATCCATGGCAATTAATCGATATCATAAAAGATACAATAAATAAGAATTGCGCGACTGTTGCTCAAAATTGCAAGTTTATTAACAATGCAATAATTATAAGGAACTTAGATATACGCGAATAGTTCCGCGCATGATAGTCGCGAATAATCTTGTTGGATTCGACAAGTCATGAAAGGATTTTAAGAAGTTATTGACTGCTTTCGTCACCTTCTTTAGCTGCCATGGCGACTCTGCCAGCATCTTGCATTTGTATTTTAAGCAGTTCCATCGGAGTAGTAATAACTATTTGGCATGCTCCTGCCAAGCCGCCAGCGAGCATTTCACGTTCTATTGGTAATTGTTGTCTGAACAACAGATTAAGAGAGTCCTGGGATCACGGAGTATTGTAAAAAGTTTTAATACATATAAATAAGACTGGCACACGACTGACTTCAAAAAACCGAGAAAAAAAGTGTTTTAAATTTCAGAAAATTGTTTGACTAACAAATTGTTGTGGTAACAAATAAGTTTGATTGAGATCAATGTTTTCCAATTAAAAACAAGTTCGGGCATTAATCTAAAATCGATCAAAATCGATATCTCAAAAGCAATTTTCAATTATCATTTCGGTCGTTCATTATTATTCAAGCATAATTATCAGTATAGCGATTCAATCGTGTATTATTAGATAAATATTCAAATTGATTAAAAAAAAAGTTAACTTCTCAAAGTTTTTAAGGATATGTATAAAATGTTCTGTTCATCATGGTGTACCAGTTTGGATAAGGGAGATCATTCAACGCTAGTTGGCATGATAAGCAATATGTTAACTATCTTAACGGACCGCAGAGCATCAAAATACATTGGCAAAAAACGTAAACGAAGCAAATTGTTAACTTCATAATTCGCAATTTATGTGTAATTCCAATAGAGCGTGATGTAACACGCGTTGACGTATACTAATAAAAGCTACTATACTAATAAATAATCGAAATTATTCATTATATTAGAAAATAACTTTAAATGAAAAAAGCAAATGAGATAAGTTACAATTTATAATTGTAAAGTAGAAAATTAACAATTACACTGCATTGTACACAATGCTAGCTGACATTTAATAAATTTTCAGCAATTCTCTATCTCTCTCTCAATCTCTTTCTCAATCAGACTATTATTAACTAATTATAATTTTATATAGTTTCTGATATGTCATTACTCTTAGATTGTTTTAAAAAAACCATTTCGTAAGGATGAAAAGGGGAAAGTAAAAATTACCCTGCTCTCGTCGAGTTACTTGCGACTTGGTTAGTTAGTTATGGTTGCTTGCACCGTTTGCCAGGTCAT